ATCTCACCATAGGCTTTAACACGCCCACAAGTGTTAGAGTAGTGAGCCTTCAAAAAGATGATGTATTTACTCGGCACGCCTTTCAGTGAGAGACATTCTCATTAGACTTCTCGATCAACGGAATCGACAGCCACCTTCAGGTCGAAAAATACAGCTATTGTCGGGCGTCTCTGCGTTCCAAAATCTGGCGAAGTGTCAATACTTGGTCGATACATCCGCGACCAGGTCTAAAGCCTGCTTGGTTTTCTCGGGCTTGCTGTTCCCAAGCTCCACTCAGGCGTCGGAGAATTATAGAACCTAGAATCTTAGACACTGTGTTCTTCAGGCTGATTCCTCTGTGGTTATCACAAGAGGATTTTCTCGCCTTTCTTGAAGACTGGGATAATCAGTCATTCAGACTAGTCAGAGGGTATCGTATTTGATTCCCATATACTAGTTAACACTTCCGTCAGCCTGACTAAAGGCACTTTACCACCATCCTTGTATACCTCAGGAGTTAGTCCCTCTGGTCCTACCATCCTTCCTCGTTACAAGTTACCTACAGCTTTCTCGACTTCTCCTAGTGTTGGGGGGCCTATCTCAATGTTCCGCTCAGGATCCGACTGGCTAGTGGACAACGGAATGATGGCTGAAGGCCAGTTACACAGTTCCTCGAAGTGTTCTGCCCATCGTTCCAGTCATCTCCTCTACGAGTGAATCGCAAATCCGTCGCTCTCTGCTATAGCCTCACTAACTGCAGTCGACCTTCCCCCCCCCAGTCTCCTTAATAAGTCTAAATGACTGTCTACTGTCACCAATCGCCGTCGCATTTTCCATCTCTAGCCTTCGCTGCCCACCACTGTTCGCAGTCGTTGCGTAGACTTTTTCTCAGTCTACTTTTAAGTTGCACTCGCTCTTCATTGTACTCAGAGCCTGCAGTCAGGGATGCGTTCACCTGCATCCATTAGTTCGGAAGAAGCTGCTGATATCCTCTGGCTCTTTTTAGCCACTTTCGGAGTTGGCTACGGTCTTTAGTGCTGCTTTTACAGCAGACTGGAGATGGCACCAAGCTTCTTCTGTTACGATAACTGCCTAGCCAATTTTCCACTGAACACGGCTTTGACGTTTTCGTTGTCGAACTGCATTCGTAATGGTTATTGCCAAATTTTTCCTACGTCCATTGAGACCCAAGCATATTTGCGCTCGGACCAAGGTATGGTCGCTACCCAGACGCGTACTCCAGAAAGAGCGGCAGTCTTCCACCGATCCTCCCCAGTGATGACTAATAGCAAAGCAATGTGACCTATGTGTCCATCGGTGAGTTGAGCTCGGTGGACGCCAAGTCAGACAGTGTCTTTATTTATGTTTGAAATTTGTGCTGGCTAAAAATAAGCGGTTATCTGAGCACAGTTGCAGTAGGCGACCACCGTTATATGTTCGTTCAGCCGGGATTATGAAAGTGTCACCTAAGTGCCTTTCTGCCTCCACCTGTGCATTGAAATCACCTGCAACAACCATCATATCTGAAGGTTTGGCTTTCGAAAAGAGGCTAGACAGTTTTCGGCTGTGCTCACCCTTCACTTCATTCGGACTACAGTCAGTTGGTGAATAAGCAGAGATTACAAAGAGACAACGGCGAGTCTCACTATTCCTTTTAGTTCTCACCGTGCTGTTCAGCCGCATAGCACAGAGGCGACTGTCAACTGGGATCCAGTCTGGTAGTGAGTTTTCTGCCTTAGTGCTTAATGCTACCCCTACACCTGCGAGATCTAGCCATTAAATCTCCAGAAACTCGAAGGGTGAATTTCGGGGATTCACCAGATTGGCCGAGAGAGGTTAAGGGGATAACCGCACTTGGATCCTGTATGCGAATCTCACAAACACAGCACACATCTATGGCCCGAGTTGCTAGAGTTTCGGCCAGTGAAGCCTGTTGACCAATTTGACGTTGAAGGCCCCGATGTGTAATTTGTAGTGTAGTTTAGGGAGACCAAGGATGCTGTTCTGAGGATTCAGATCGTTGTTGAAGGCTGCAGAGTTAGGAGAAATTGAAGATGATGTAGTATCGTTGAGTGGGAGACGTGAAGGAAGCTTAGAAGGTAATGATGAGGGAGGTGGATACCAGTCTAAGGAAACTTGAGTGCTGGCGGTTGACACCCCTGGCTGCCCGCACCGTGGAAGGCTATTTCTTCTTAAGGTACCTGAAAGAGATTCCTGTGACCTCAGAGCCCGTCGAATATTTGCTTGAGGCCTGTCACATGCAGCCTTTTGTGTATGGTTGTTTTGGGGCCGGATGGCAGAAAAGAAACGACAAATGAAGCAACACCGCTGACCCGGCAGACCGTGGGCATGGCGGAGTTTATTATTTTGGGGGCCGACCTTTTCTACCCTCGCTCCCCTTCCACTGAGAAGGCAGAATCAGCATGGCACTTCTGGTCATCCACGGGGAACATCGTACTTCTGCCACATCCCATCCAGCAAGCAGTAGTACGACTTTGCCCTCAAACCCCCCATCATAGTGCAGTAATTTACACCACGACGGTAACTGCTTTTCGTCTAACCGCTATCTAACAGACCTTTCTGGTATGGTAGAACCTCGAAGGAACAAGTGTTCCACCAGCATATCTCGTTGGGTCATTGTGATATGTAAGCCCGATCACTACGTCAAGGTAGTAGCCGCCTGTCGGGGCGGCGTTCAAACCTGTGACCCAATGGTTGGAAGTCAACTCCCTAAGCCAGTGAGTTACAAGTCCGCAGAACTACCTGCACCAGCCCGTTGTACACATGACCTTTTTCAATCAAGTTGATATCACAGTGGGCGATTAACAGGGTTTATCGCAATCGGTTTGTATTTACTGATGTGGTCTCGATCCCTACCCTATGTTCGAGCGATTTATTAGCATTTTCTCCATTTTCCAGGGTAGGTTCCAGAGTAAATGTTTTGAGTGGTTTTAGTAATATCGCTATAGACGTTTCTATAAATATTGACATCTCGGCTTTCCCGCATTTAGGATTTTATTGCGCTGTCAGTGATGTTTACACTAATTCTTTTGTTGACCACCTTAATACTGTTAATACTGTCTGTCTCAATATTAGGAGCTGAAAGCACGTCGGTCTCCTTAAAAAACCACCCACTCAGGGGTTCACAGATTGTTTGCTAATCATGGTAAGTTATACTTTAATGCCCGAAGGAGTGCTTTGAGCAAACTTTTGTACTTATGCAGGATATGGTAAAGCCTTGCATTTAGAACGAACCTTCAACGGTCCTACGCTCTTCAATCAGCACCTTCATTTTCTGCCTTTTTTGAACCGATAGTATGGTGCAAATATTTGATTCATGGCAGGAAATCCCTGCAAAACAAGCGACTTCTTTCTTAATTTCCGTAGTTTATAATGTTTCACTATCTGTAAATAAGGTTGTTGTTTACAGACCGAGTTTGGCAGGTGCGAATGTGTCCCGAGCAGAACCAATAATCTTGTAAAATGTATCTAGGGTTTGACACAGACTAGCGTGAGTGAAGTTTTCCCAACCACAGAGTTTCGATACGTCCCAGGCTAATCCTCGGACGTTGAGGTTGCCATAGATTATTTCAGATACAGTCTAGAATAACGCCATGCTCAGATGTTTCATAGATGACCTCACCAACTGCTCTGGGAGTGTTTAACAGTTTGCGTTTACTTTTTCTTGCACTTATCCATATGAACGAACCATACACAGTCAGGAATATTATCTAGTACAAGATTTGAGGTGTCCATAATGATGGTACTTGGTGCAGAGATAAGGCAACCATCTCTTTACCGATAGACTGGTGTCTGCATATTCCGTATTCATCGATTACAGTATGTGAGTCTGACACATCTGGAGAAAACCAGGTCTCCGCCGCTAAAGTTGCTGTCTTAGAAGTACTGGGGTTCGAAGGACTGATATTTTATTTACTACGGACTGAGTGTCAATGATTAATACTGCTAGATACAAGGAGTATTGTGAAACTAGAGGGAGATGAGTGAAGTTATTATTTGCCACCACTTATCAGTATGTTGATACGAATAGCATCTTTTTCGACCACCTCTCCAGTGTTGCTGCATATGGTTGGTAGGTGTTTTTCTAGATGCTGTCACCGACAGATATGATAAAGGAAGATAATATCACTCGGCACAGATCTTACTTATTCGCTACATGCTATGGCGTCATTTGCAAAGTAGTGAGTGAGTTCAGTGGTATGAGAGGCTGACAGTGGAGAAAACTGGGCTGTATGGTTATGCCGTCAGGAATGCGGTAGTTTCCAAGCCAAATGGTTCATCTGTACACGTTATATTACATAACATCCTGGATCCACAGTCCTAAACCAGTATTGCTGTGTTGTTATTAAGCCTATTAACCCAAGGGTACGGATGCCTAGTTAAGTTTCTGAAGCGGGATTTCGTTTGCTCATAATTCTTTAAAAACGTAATTTTATTGTTCGATCAGTAGTGAATGCGGTTACTTGTGGCAGCCACATTATGTACAACTGGTTGTACACGCAGTGCTATTTCTATTCAACACAACATATGGGTTCAACCTGTTAGTTTTTTGCCTTTCATAGCTGTTATTTCGAAAGCAAGCCCTGTGTTTCGGTATACCAAGTTTATTACTACTACTAGACGTTTGCCTGTTTGTTGTTGATCAGAGACAGATAAACCCGGATGTACAAGTACGCATTTGTTTGCATACCATTAAACGACATTTTCATTCAATTACTTAGATATACTGTGTTTACTTCTGAGTTTTCACGCTTGTCTTGATTTTTTCCTGTTCTACCAATATTTGAGTTATTCATCACCACTCACTGTCAAGGAAATTAACATGTCATGCCAGAAGACACTTCCCTTACGACATACTGCTTTCGAATACACCATTTGTTAGATCCAGGTTGAAGCAGGCTATGTTGGTGAGTAAATATGAACTCACGAAACTCTTATGTGGGATGTCAGAACAGGTGTGACTTACATCTATGGCTTTCTCTTCAAACAAAAAAGCCTAGGCATTAAGGGATTTATAAGATGAAAAGACAGCAAAAGATAAACATCTATAGGTCAAACCTATCTTCAGCTTTATTCAACTAACGAAAATATTTACAAAGTGGATATAAATTTTCACTGAGGTACGGTTGATAACGACAAATTAAATAAGGGAAAACAGCTTTCGCTAAGTAAATTCTACATAAGCCATAGAATGACCATATCCACAACCAATATGCTTTGCTGCATAGTTTTGACTAAAACACTTTAACTTCAAAAGGTACGGCTGTGAGATGAAGGTGATACCTTCTTCAGGATTTGTAGGTTTTTCAACATAACTCGACTCTTTTCCAATACCACACATTCCATGCTCATTCCAACCCCAAACCCATAATTGTCCATTTGAATCGATAGCTAGTGAGTGCTCTGAGCCACAAGCAACACTTTTTATTACCACATTGTGACCGGTTTCTGAAGAAAAAACTATTCTCGCAGGTTGTCCATCAAAATTCGAGAACTTTTCACCAGTAGAGTACCCACTAATGTTTTGAATATCAACACTTCGTCCCAGTTGTCCCAAATCTGATCGACCCCAAGAATAAACTTCACCAACACCTTAAAGAGCAATATGGAAACACATATATCAATGAAAACTCGTAGAAGGGAGATCTAATAGTACACGTACACAGTTAAGTGAATAACAACAAAATCTATCTCAGGTAAACAGACAGAATTAATGTAGAACCTTGCACATACGTCCATCACTTCAAGTTGCCATTTCACTGAAGAACAAGTCGATCGAGAGAGATATCAAAATAGAAAAAAGGATGTGGAAGGAGATAGAATTCTTAAGAATGGTTTGCGAAAATGTTCCAGCTTTGGAGGAAATCAAAGAGTGATTGTGTCTGCGCCACTGTGACTGATTTTCAGCCGTCACCAAGGATCGCCAACTACTGACATTCCGATAAGCGGTCTGAAGTTTCGATTTTGACGATCTGTTGCCATGGTTTGTGTGAGGGGTAAGATGCTGACTGAAAATAAAGACCGAAGTAGGTGATTATCTTCAAAGATCACCCTCCAACACTTGACTCCCAGGGGAAGACAATTCAGGAAAAAGAATTATTCTAATGGACCATTTTTCCAGAGCTATCGATTCGTATTCATAGTTACAGCAAGAAAATATCTCCATTGCTGATGAGGTGATCAAAAATTGATTATGCGACTACAAGGTAATAAGTGAAAAGTCGACGAAAGGTACTCCTTAGAATGCATTGGTAAATTGTTTCTCAAATCACAGGGAGACTGTGCAAAATTGAAATGTACTCAGCAACCTCCTGCAGTAAGCAATGAACCCCACCTGCTGAGTGAGGGCTAGTCATACTACCTGGCTGCTAAAACCTCAGTAGGTAAATTGGGGCTCGAACAAGTGACTCATTGGTTAGAAATCATCTCCCTAAATCAATGAATCACAGCTCCACACTCTAGTATGTAGTAGAAGAGGTAATAAAACTGGGCCTTAAATATTGGAATTACTAAGTACAGAGTAAGGAAAATAGGATGAAAATGATAATATTCATAAATAAGATGCATAAGACAGATATTTCACCTAGAGTAATAGTTTCATTACCTACGATACCTTCAGTCAATCTATTGAAAAAGCCATTTAGAAAACTTAAGTACCTCGTCGGTGGAAGAGAACACTCAGTCAGCTTAGCAACTGAGATTTTGAACAAAATAGAAGGGCTAAAGACATGTGGCGATGAAAGGATGGTATCCTTTGCTGTGAGACAACTCTTCACTTCAAATGACTCAAATTTAGCCAAGTAGATGATGGATATTCTTCTGAAAAACGACCGAACCCTTTCTCGCTATACGAAGATCACGATTATAAACCGAATGGAAATGGTCTATTTATGGCTCACCAACTACTTGCAACTCAATGGGAAGATCTAAAAACAAACAAAAAGAATACCTGTTGGATCGCCGATGTCAGGATTGATTGTTTAAGTAGTGATGCAGTGGCTAGAATCAATAGTCATCCCCCTGATTAAACCAAGAATTTGGATTCAGTACGTTGACGACACATTCATAATTCTCGAGGAAGAAATCAAAAAACGTTCAAGTTGGTCAACCAAATATTTGAAGGAATTCACTTCATAAAGGAGAAGCAAGCCAATAAGAAAATTCAATTCTTAGATATCCTCATCAGCAGAAACCATGACGGGACGTTGCAAACTCAAGTTTACAAGAAGAACACATACAGTTCAACCTATGAACTACAGCAGCAATCGTCCTACAGTCTATAAGAAATGTTGTATGCAAACACTATTCTCAAGAGCCAAAACACATTGCAGCATTCAGCTACTACGAAAAGCGGAAGAAAAATACCTGTACAGCGTTCAAAGCCAATGACTATCCATACAACTTTGTAAAAAAACGTTTACTAGCAGAACAGGGGAAAGCACAATTACCTTAAACCTCTACTCTATATCAAGGATGTCTTAGAAACAGTTAACCGACTGCCTCGGTTGTTTAGAATTAAAGTGGTACACAAATTAACGAAATCACTACAGAGCACGTTATGTAACCTAGGGGATGCGTTGCCAACTGAAGATAGTACAAATATAATCTGCAAAGGGTCTTTGTAACATAAAACGTAGTGTTGTGAACAATCTTGACCGGTTTAGCCATCATATTGCTCAAATAATTCATGAATATCAACTAGCATTAAAGAGATATCAAATAACCTCCTTGATTTCACTGCATGAAGACAATCACGATTAAAAATGTGGAAATCCTCCAAAAAGCAGGTTCGAAAGCAGCAAACAAATTTTTAGAAGCATGGCATTCCAACGAGAAGCTAATCAACAGATATGTGGATATAGACCCAATCTATAATCCACTTAAGAAGAAATATAGCCTTACATTAACCAAGAAAAGGTGGGACAAACAAATCAATATCGAAGCACTGAGTGATAGTAATTAGTACAATTTCACCCTAACAAAGATTCTAAACCAACGTAACCGAGTGAAATCAAGGTCAAAGAGGTCAAGGTGTGACAAAAATCTCTTCTCCAACTTACAATTTGACAACGCTCAAGGTCAGCAAAAACATTCGTGTGACATTCGAATATCCTTCACTTCTTTATGAAGTTAATGCTGAGGATGTTACTAAGCCTGGTGGTGAAATGTCCACGACGAAGTAACAAAGTCAGAGAACTCCGAACCATCATCACACTTCTGCTCGCTTTGAGTGGCATAGGATAACGAACAATAGTGCTTGAATGAAATTCAACTTCAGTAACAGGAATGACGTAGACATCTAATAGTGATGTAGATTCCATGAACGATCTGATTGTATGTGGGTAAATAAAAAATAGGCAACCAGAAAGGATAAACATTCGTCAAACGCAGTAGTGTCAGAGAAATAGGTTATATCATCGTCATATCACTGTCAACAGTTAATGTGACCGTCGGCACAGGAGCAAGGGTTGATTAATTCAATCAACGAGCAAAATGTATTCTGATAATGTGGTGAGCTTAAGGAAACGTTAGGAAATAACGGTGACAGAAGGAGAAATCTGATGAAGATGAAAACTATACAATATGTAAAACAATGTGTACAAATATGAAAATAAACGGAATAGTACAAGAAAAAGACTCACTAGAAAGATAAAATAAGTGTGAAAAGTTACCAATATGAAGTTGACTTGCCATGAGAAATGTGCGTCTAGGTGTACACCAACCACACGTTAGCTATGTATATGTGTTGGCGCTATGCTGTAACAATGACAAAAGGCCTACATCGACAGCCAGGATCATACATGGATGTCACTTGTAAGGGATTTAGAATGCTGCCATCTAGCCTCGAAACTGTTCATATGTCAGACATTGTACCGTTCTGCTTGACTGCATCTTTTTAGCGTCATCTCCACTTTGTTAACACCAATTCAACAGTACACCGAGTATTCATACGCACCTAGTTGACCGATTAAATATTCAGGTCTTTACGTGCAGACGCATATGCCTGAGTTAAAATAGATGTGTAGAAAGTACAAATTCAAAGTTTTTATGAGTGCAGCTTGATGATAGGTTACTATGGCTTCTTTCAAAGAGCAACGGGTTAGACATCACAAAGGGTCAACATTAATCACTCTCCATATGGCTGGTACATTCTTCAGTTTTCTGTTAAAACAATGTTGATGAATGCTGTTGTATTTTACAAACATCATCAAATTCCAACTTATTGTTATCTAGTACCACAGGTAGTTAAGGACGAAAGTGAAAGGAGTTAAGGTGAATTAAGTGAAGTGCTAACAAGTGTAATGAAATAAAACATGACCCCTTATGAGTGGCGCCAACCAGATGGTAGAAGTCTTCAGCAAGGAGGAGAAATCCTCCTCTAATAACAACAGTGGGTTCACTCTAACTGAAGAAACCAATCGAGAACATAGCAAACGGGTGCATCGTTTCACCTTCCTCACTTCACAGTAGAACAAAAAGAAAAAGTGGATAGGAAAGAAGCCATATAAAACTAGATAAACCAGTGTGAAATAATAAACATTTACGAAACAATAGTTAGTAAGGATACATAAGCTTTAGAAGACGTCAAGGAGTAAACGAATCTGAAACATTGTGGCCAATGTTCAGTCATATCACTAACAGTCCTCCGTCACTGAATTCTTGCGTCTCAGGGACCACAGTCACGTCATCCTGCTCCAAATGCTAGTTTTTTCTTCAAAAAAAATGCCGTTTAGGCGTTCTGCGGCCGCCTCAACAACTCATCTTTAGAGCATTTAAAACAACCAAGAAAGCGAAACATCATTCTTAGTCTTTTAAAACCACACTGTAAACTTTGCAGTGAAACTCTCCATGTCCGAACACGACACTAAATCAAACAACAGGCATCACTTATCAGAAGTTTGGAATCTTCAGCCATGAATATGTGATGTATCTCTGAGACAGTTATACAAAATCCAAGTGTGGTAATTACACTGACCTCACCTAGCCAAGTGGTGAATCTTCAAAACTCACTTTAAGAATATCCAAAGACCCAATGGCTCTCGAAAACTCGCTGGTGTAGGTACATCAATAAACTATAGAGCATAAAGTACACTTGTAGATGGCATATCAGCTAATAATCATCAACATGAAAAGTGTGACGTAGGAATGATTCTGAGACTAGTCAATGGCCATTCATAATCTCTGCCTACGCTTCCATCGACTGAAGTCCGGATAACGGAAAGGATGGATTAGAAAACAAACCTGCCGCTAAGATGTAGTCTAGGTAGTAGATGATTTCAACGCTCAAGTAAAGAAGATGAAGCAACCATTAAGAACATAAAAGGTATCTGTGATATCTTGCATCAAGAAACGAACAGCGCAGTTTCTCTCCTACAAATTCGCACTGAAAACCACGCATTTCTCATTATTAAAAATTCAACTATAAGAAGAGATACTGTCTCACATGGCGTCCGCTGACTGTAAACCAATGATGGATACAGATAGATCATATTGCTGTCAGCCATCGTTGGAGAGGATCGGTGGAGGGTTGCTGCTCTTTCTGGAGTACACGTTTGGCCTTCAATCACGTGCTAGTACAAACTCATATATGTCTGCATCTGAACGGTCACAGGAAACAGACAATGGTAAACACTGTCTATGGTCGATTGGAAAACGCGAACGCCAACTACGTAACTAGAGGAAAGTCAGCAAAGCATTTGTCTAGACGTGATAGTAATGCTCATCCTGAGAAAAATGGGCGCTATAGAAACAGCGGTAAAGACAGCTGGTAACCTACATCAGAAGGTTAACAAAAGTCAATGGATTTTCACAACTTCATCCGAACTGATTGGTGCGAGAAGACTCATTCTACCTGGCTCTGACCACAATGAGGAGTGAAATCAACTCGGAGATAAATTGACCAAGAGACTTCGCAATCATCGTGAGCAGTGGTGGGTGGCGAAGGAGAGGGCATCAGCATTAGGTAACACTCGACAGTTATCTAGACTCATTCAGGAGATCAGGAAGAAGAGGAAATTTTATAAAAGTATGGCCAAGATGGGCCCCTGATGACCTCCCAAGACAAACGGCTAGAGAGTTGAGAGGAGCATTTTGAAGCACTGTTGAACTGACTCATACCAATGCTTTAGTAACACAGCATCCAGTGTGAACCTGAATGGGAGGTAGATGTCGGTGCTCCAACTTTACTTGAAGCTGAGAAAGTTGCATCGGACCTGAAACGATGCAAAGCAGGAGAGCCTGACAGATTTCACCCGATGTTTTCAAGGATGGAGGTAGGAAATTACTGAGTAGAGCAACGAAGGAACTGGATAGTGTATGGGAATCAGAGGTAGTGCCATCAGACTGGTCTACATCTCTGTTCATCCCAGGCTATAAGAAGGGAAAGAAATCTTCTTGTGACAACCACAGGGAAATTATTTCGACTAATATTATGCCGAATATCCTAGAATTTATAGTTATCCGACGCCTAACTGGAGTTCGATAACAGCAAGCTCGAGAAAACCAGGCAGGTTGCAGACAGAGTTGGACGAGGGTGCATCAATCATATTTGTACACTACGACAGGTTCTGGGGCACATGAACACTTATCGGCGACCGACACTTGTTGACCTGAAGTCAGTATTCGACTTTGTTGACCATGAGGTGTTGTAGCAGTGTCTGACTGTAAACGGGGTGCCGAATAACTATACAACGCTAATCAAAGCTCTTTACCCGAACTCACGTAGTCGAGTCACGGCTTACGAACAGTTGTTATCAGAAGTGACGACAACTAGTAATGTCTGCCAAGAGTGCCCAATGTTACCGTCCATGTTCAATTTCCTCATAGATGTATTAATGAATAAAACCTTAAGTGGCAGGTCTGACTTCACAGGGATTGATCTACTCCCCTATCTGGTAGTCACCTGATTGACTTGGAGTATGCAGACGACATTGTCCTGCTAGGTGAAGTTGACAAAGTGCAGGGTCTTCTGCATGCATTGAGCAGAAATCCGAGTATGTTTGGGATGCGTTTCACTGGCACCTGTCAATTGTAAGGTGATGCTCCAGGACTAGTCTGTAACTACTCTCAGCTTGATGACAAGTAGTGGAATGTGTCGACCACTTCACTTACTTGGGGAGTCGATTCAGTTAAAATGGACTGGCTGCTGATGAAATCTCAGCTCGGTTCTAGAAGGCCCGTTTGGCATTTGCCAGCTTGCAAGATCTGTAACACTGAATGGCGAGATATCCGACTATTTATTAAAGGAAGAGTATACTGCTTCGGAATCCATCCTGTCCCATTATACGGCTGTGAGACGAGACACGACCGTTAAAAGTAGAGGATTTGAAGAGGATGCGCTGCACGCATATGGTGGGATCACCATGTTAACGATGTTGAGATCAGGAGAAGGGTACTGGGCAGGATAGGTAAGTTGATTGATGAGGTTGTGAGTCTTTAGCGACTGAGGTGGCTTGGATATGTACTGCGCATGCCAAGTAACTCCCTGCTTTTATGTGTAAGAAGGTTCAATGTGACCGGACTAAGACGTGGTACCAGTCCATGAAGTGTATGACTGTGATGATGATCGGTGTATGGAAGTGTAGACTACAACCTGGTCCTCAGGACAATAGGATCGATTGCTTGAGGGCTATTGATAATATGGTTGAGAATCGGTCACAATGGTTCAGACTCACTCACTCCTTGATGTCTTTTAAGGTTTGAATATTTTCAGAAAGCTTCGTTCTTACGAATTATTTCCTTTGATGTTACTCTCCACCGACTTGTTTTTCGAATGTTGCAGTTAAGTGGCAACTTCAAATGATACACTTGAGTGCGAGGTTCTACGCGGATTCTGTCTATCTGAGGCAATTGAAGAAACAGGACTGTTATATTACACATGGATGACAGTCAAAAGATTAGATGAAACATACTTACTAGTTCTAACAAGAACATGACTCCACCCACATACTAGTTGTTTTATTTCATTGCCACCGAATACTTGACTATCATACCAGATCGGGGATGCACTTTCTCGCTTAGTGTTTGAAGAGTAATTTTGTAATCTTGATTTAAGCTGAAAGAATCGAGTATCCCCCCATAAAGCCAAGTTATTTCTTTCTGAAAATTAATAAAGGATTAGGCTCTCTTAAAAAGTAGATGGAAGAAATTAATAAATCGAGAATTTTTAACGTACTAGTTTTCACTATAGAATGATATGCACCAGCAGCGCAGTCAGTGAAGTCATGTGTATTTCCCAAAGCTGAGTTGAGTAGAATAGGATGGTAGAATATCTCCGTCGAACTACAGTGACACTCAGTTTCAAGTGTTTTTTCAATGGAAAGTTGTTTACGACGGTTGGAACCCCAACCCATAGGTTTTCCAGAAACTGAAGACTGTAATTATTAAAAGGGAACGAAAATACTTGTTATACAAATGACGTGTCTCAGACCAGCAGATATTGCACGAACAGGCTCTATATCAATACGAACCTAGTTTACTGTCATCTCTAGTAAATGACAAGTTACAGGAGCTATGCTTGATTTGATACTCTTTTTACCCAGTTGTCCATATGCATTGGAACCCCAAGCGAAGACAGATCCATCATTCAGTACTGCGATAGAAAAATCCCAACCACATGCAACTAAGTTTACCGGTAATCCAAACGAAAATGGAATAGGTTTAAACAAATAACAGTCATCTGAACGACCAATTTGATCGGCTGAATTCGATCCACAGCTTATAACAATGTTTTCTAAGGACATTATATAATCAGAATTCACGTTACCCTTTGCAATCAACGAATGTCCACCACCACCTGCGATTAACGTAACAGGATCACTGATGTTGATGATGCATGGTTCATAAACATCTTCTTCATTACCTGTGCCCAGTTGACCATGACTATTAGCACCCTGTAACAAAATATGAGAATAATAGCAAAATACTCACCCATGTAAGCATAAGAAACCTAAAACAAATATGGTTGCCTGAATATTAAGTAGAAATAAAAAAATAAAGAATTTCTAGTTGGTAAATTATTGATACTAATGATACCTAAACAGTTCCATTACAGAAAACCAGAAAAAGCTATTCAAAACTAATGTAACTAAATATAGTACAGGTTATATGTACTAGGCTGTCACAACTATTGTGTGAAGGCTTACAGTACTACCCAGCTGTTCAGGCCGAAGCAGGAAGAACGTGGTTTGAACACAGGACTCCGTTAAAAGTTGTGCTTGAGCCAATGCACCACATCCCCACAGAAACCATACGAAAATTTAGGCAAGAGAATGAGGCATGGGCCAGTGTAGAACCTCGTATGGAAGTTGCAATAAAATTAGTAAGCAGAAACCAAGCTAAATAAATGAGGCATGCGATGAACGGTAAATAAAAACAAAGACTTCGAAAATTTCAGTGAAAGAAACCGAATACAGACACATCAGTCATTCATTTGAAACCACGTCACCAAAAATGCGCAAAAAATAATTCCTCTAGAGATTGGTGTCACATCATGATCCGGTCAAAGGACCACTAAGAAATATTTTACTCCTTTTAAATTTAGTAATTAAATACCAGTGCAAAGAAAACAACACAACGTCATTATTGTGAGTAGGACATGAAGAGTTTATGAAAGAGGTTGTAAAACTGATTAGGAAAATACCATAAAAAGGGTAAGTACACCGAAAACTCTCCAATCACAATCAATTAATGTGTACCAATGCATCTTTTTGAGTCATACAACTTGTGCATCACAGTAAACAGATCTAAAAGCAAAACAACGATAAATAAGGGAAAATGAACTATGAAATACGTTGGTCTAACAAAATTTCTACAGAAATGTAAAATAATACCTGATCTGCATAGTGTTTGTGATGAAGCATACCATTGAAAGGTCCTACGAGGCTTACGTCACTTCTATCAAAGTAAAAACTTCAAGCTAGCACAGAACGAATCCCAGACTTAGAGTAACTTAAGGTAGTGGTTCATTAGACCACAGTGTTCCCTATGATCAGTGAGAAATTGGTTCGGAATCAGTACAGATCATCGATCCTCCACATTCTTGCTTTGTAATCGTCTCCCAAACCAAGCCGATGTCCTGACATGGTGGTGGGAATCGCATATGACAATGATCCAAAAGCTACAATAGCTGAAACCCTTGTTTCCTTGAGGTGCTACCAACAGAAATATATGTTGCGTAGTAGTCAGAAGAAAAGTTGCCGCTGCGGTGTCTACTGCTACACAGAGGGGGTCCGAGGGCGAAGTCGTACTGCAGCTGGCTGCATGGCATGTGAAAGCAGTAAGGTGTCTCCCATGGATGAACAACAACACCAAGCTGATACCATTTGCGCGGTGGGAAGGAGGTGCTTAGCAGAAATTGGCCCCACAAAACAACACATTCCTCCTTTCCATGCAGTCTAACGGTGCCGGTAGTACATTTTCCGGATCTGGCGTTACAACAATCAAATATCCAACCAACAAAACTAAAAAGGCTGTGAAAGGTCTCAAGCGGATGTCTCCTGGGCTCTGGGTCATACAAATCTTTCTTTTCTCCCAGGTGCCTTCAGAAGAATAGCCTTCCTCCGCACACCCAACAGTACACAATACCCAATCAAACATAATCACTCCTCATCGAACCACTCTCCTATTTTGGCTTTACCTACTGGTAATAATACTAAGCCTATTACACCTTCCACAACATGTCACCCTACGACAATTGCCAACTTCCGAAACCATCGAAACCTCATTCCTAGTCTCCTGAAACGCCGTCAACGGTTTCACGTTGGAGCTTGCAACGTCCAACCTCTATGCCAAATAGGACATCAAGCATTGCTCGCCAGAACTCTGCAATCTCTAACCATAGATGTGTGCTATGTCTGTGAGATTCGTATACAGACAGGACCCCAGTGTGCTTATTAAATTGATGTCAGCTGAACATAGCAGTGGATTTTCAAAAGTCACGTTAAGAGTATCTGGAGACCCAATGACTAGCTCTCGTCGACTCGCTGGTGTAGGTATACCATTGAGGTGTCACTACTCAACAATCAACAGCAGCCCATGTTCGACTGTTCGACTGGCTGGATTTGTAAGAACAAGGGAGGATAGTGAGACAGCGAAGACTATTCGTAATCTCCGTCTAAGCATCCACCGACTGCAGTTCACACGGTGCAAAGGATGAATTCAGTGAGAAGCTGTCAAATTCGCTACAGAAAGCAAAACGTTCACATCTAGTCATTATGGCAGGTGACTTTAACGCTCAAGTAGGGAAGCTGAGATGGGCCAATCGGAAAGGTATCCTACAGGTATGTACGAAATCCCATGCCAACGGGTCGACAACGAAGAGGTTGCCTTGCAATTTGCTCCAACAGTCACTTGTTTCTGACCAGGACTGGCTTCAGGCATAAGGAGAGACACTGTCTCACATGGCGTCCGCTGACTGTAAACCAATGATGGATACAGATAGATCATATTGCTGTCAGCCATCGTTGGAGAGGATCGGTGGAGGGTTGCTGCTCTTTCTGGAGTACACGTTTGGCCTTCAATCACGTGCTAGTACAAACTCATATATGTCTGCATCTGAACGGTCACAGGAAACAGACAATGGTAAACACTGTCTATGGTCGATTGGAAAACGCGAACGCCAACTACGTAACTAGAGGAAAGTCAGCAAAGCATTTGTCTAGACGTGATAGTAATGCTCATCCTGAGAAAAATGGGCGCTATAGAAACAGCGGTAAAGACAGCTGGTAACCTACATCAGAAGGTTAACAAAAGTCAATGGATTTTCACAACTTCATCCGAACTGATTGGTGCGAGAAGACTCATTCTACCTGGCTCTGACCACAATGAGGAGTGAAATCAACTCGGAGATAAATTGACCAAGAGACTTCGCAATCATCGTGAGCAGTGGTGGGTGAAGCAGAGATAGAGGCGGTCATGCCGGAGCTTCCTATCTTTTGCTGCTGAAAAGTAATGAATATACCTTATTAGACTGTCCAATTAATCATTCTATTCTTGTGTTTTATTTTCTTTTCTACTTCCCTTCGCCCTGTCTTCATAATGTTATATTATTTGGTGTGGCGCATTTTTTGGTGCTCTTACTGTACCATGTTTACGTTCTTATAAATAAATAATAAAATTTAGGCGAAACAGGTAAATCATCTTAACAGGCTATAAACCTTTAACGGCTCAGATAGCTTTGACTTGTTATATATACCTGTTCGCTATCTGGCTGGTTGAGCTCTGTTAACTGAATTAAATGTAATCTGGGGAAAAACTGGATGTGGTCAGACTGAGACGAAGAGAAAAGTTCTGAACTTTCTAACATCTGATCCGTTATGTGGGGAAATGTAAAATTACCGCCTTACGAGTCAAAACCTATATCGGTGTTGGAAAATCAAGATGATGCTGCTCAGAATCCCAACCAATGATGTAAAGGCTCCTTGACCATCATGTTAAACTGCTAATGTTTCCTCATACCAGGTCGACTCCAGCTAGACTGTATTTAAAGTCTAAGTGAAAGGTGTTTTACGATTGCCAATCGTACTTCGGCTTTATCTTTCGCGATCGCCCTACATCTGTAAACCGGCTAAATGCCAAGCCCACTTGAACACGACGATTGCTGATCACGGGGTTGTGTCGGAACCACCATGTCCACCTTGACACAGAGACATTACTGAGATCACTGATCACCAGTCATCTACGTGATTCTTAAATGGACAACTCGTCAGATAGAGATGACAAAAAGTAAGTAAGCAGGCCTTGGGAAATGGTGAAAATAGTTAGATGAAGTGGACACTAAGTGTGCGAAGTGAAAAGACTTTTGAGCCAGGTTGGAGCAGGTGAATTCAAAAATGTACTCCAGGTGCTCAAGCAAGCACTAACAAGGTGTATCTCAATACTTGAGGTAGTGAGAATGGCGTTGATAAAGTGGGGATGATGCCGAAGGTACGCAACTAATCAATACGAAAAGTGCAAAACATACTGCCACTAATTCACTCAGGTCAAACATTAGGCAGATCTAATAAACTACTTTGGGGACAGCTTCAGTTTCACACTGATCATAGGTGACATTAACACATGTTCTCGCCTTCCGATCTGCTTTACGTGCAGGTTTGTTGTCATTGTTAATGTGATTCGTTATCTCAGTTGACTCTGCATCGTAACATACTATTTTAGGGAAATTTTCAGGAAGAACGCAAAATTCTGTGTGTGTGTGTGTGACGGTTCCGCAGCCCTCGTAAGGGTCATAGAAGAGAACTTTTGAGTAAACCTTTTCTATGCAATATGTAAACGAAAGTATTATCATTGTCGCAGTATGTTCGTGAAAGTCTTCATATGATTGAAGAAAGTGGGGATTAATTGTTGCGTTCCCCCAAAACTTTTACATTGTTTTCACCAAAATGGTATGTTAGGGGCATTTCAAGAAAGCACCAGATGATGCAAATGTTCTCATCTTTCATGCGTAATTTATACTTTTTTCATTATTTCATGCATAAATATCCACTATTTTTGTCCAATCGTTGTGACATGCTGGGAATCCTATAGAATATTCCCAAAATATCTTTAAGAATAAAGCCAATACCTTTCTTTGCAATTGATATCAACGGACAGATTTGTGCATATCTAAACCCGTTCAGTCATATCTGTCTACAAGACAAACAGAAACATTACAGGAAGTGAATACAAGGTTGGTACAGGGCCAGTAATAGTTCATTATACTCGCAAAGCTAGTGAGTTTCTAGTTTCTGCCTTTGTGTCGTTAAGCCCCAATGCATACTCCATTTACGATCCTAAATTCTTTCGACACTTTTAGGAATCGGTCTTGCGCGAATGCCATAATACGCAATACCAACAAAAAGAGGAGATTCATAGTTTTTCAATAGTTTCCCAGTCAGCATTTGCTTCGGGCGTACATCGTAAGTTTTGGGCAAAAACCCGAAAATTCTGCTTTTGGCCATGATGGGGAGACGCACGATATTTCCCGAAACTTCCAAACATTTTCCTCGAAACTGTCAAAAGTTCCAAGTGCGCCCAATTGTATGCAATGCTCCTGGAGTTCACAAAGTGTAGGGAGTGCACCATAAGTTTTGGAATAACATATATTCACAGCTCTAATAAGCCACATTTCGTAACATTATTATATATACCGTTCACGTTTCACTACCGCATGTGTTTATGTATTTCAAATCCATGAAATGGAAACGGCCAACGAAAATAATTGGGAAACTTAGGAGAAAATCAAAATTTGGTAAGTGCGCCCAAAGTTGCTTCGGGCTAAAACCCGAAAGTTTCAGAGTGCGCCCGAAGTACATGCTAGCTGGTTTATATGGTTTGGTTTAGTATCTTCATATCTTCAAAAATGTTGAATGAGTAAGGGAATGGAGCCATAGAGTTATTAAACAGTATAAACCTTCCACTTTAATAACTGTCATGCTACTTTATAACCTATTAAATACGGAGAACTTACGCAAGTGATGCGTTACGGTCCAGCGTAGCGCAATAACGAACTGCGCGGTAATAGTAGCAACAAATTACACAGTTCGCTTTCCACAAAACGGAAAAGGTCTTTACATAACTAGTTCCTATCCTTTTTTCTGCACAATACCCAATTTGACAAAACTTCAAATCGAAATTCCTCGGCTGGACTGACCTATGAAGATCCAACATCCAACATCAACAGTGCGAGTAGAGGAAACTTGTAGTTTTTGAGCTCTTGCTTTTAGATCTTGAGGCTCAGTTCTTTTTGTTTAGTCATACTTCTTCGATGGTCGCAGAAGTCTTTGCTTCTTCCTCTTTATAGCTTCGGAGGTAGTGATTGTCTAGTTGAAGGTATTTTATTTGCAAATTGTAGCTTGGTTTGTTTTGGAGAGGGCAACGGAGCTCCTGATAAGGTCAACCAACCGTTTGCAACTTCTGTTGCTGTAGGCGCCTGCAGGCAGGTGTCAAGTGTTACTTAAAAAGTGATGGAAACGGGGTGAGTAGGTAATGAGAAAAAGAGGAGTGAAAAGTACTTACGGAAAGATAAGCATAACTGGTAATAATATGCAGGAGAGATACCTCCTAGTGCAGAAACCAGGGTTGGGGTATACAAGAGTGGAAGGTTTTATCGTCGCTTGCTACTGATAAATGTTCATGATAAGTCATTTGCCCTCACATACTCACCGGTAGTCGTCTGAGGAGTTGACCGGTGTAGCCGTAGCCATTTCCTTCGGCAGAGCGTTTCATAAGCCACACGCTCTGCGAAGGAAGTTAGATTTCACTTTCATCTTTGCCCTGTGGTAGGGTATGTGAGCGGGGTTCCTACAGGACTGTCGGTCTTGGACCGATAACGTTGTCCTGCTTGGGTGGTTCACTTGTTGTATGACCTTGTAAGCTGTTATCAGGTAACCTCATTTCCTTCGATTGCTTATTGTGAACAATTTGGGTTGTCTGAGGCGCTGTGCATGTGTTTTGCCTGTCAGTCCGACAGCCGAATTCCTTGTTCTTCTCGGCACCCTCTAGAGAGCATTTGCCCCCCTCTTCAGTACCGGGGGCTGTCGTGTTAAACACCTCCAGGTGTGATCTAACACCGGTTTTAAATACCGTAAGGAATAATTCTGGGGTCAACAGCCCAATCTGCCTTCTTAAAAAGCGCCTAGTGGCGTCTGCTTTGTTTCCGTTCCCTTATAAATGCCAATAGTATCCAGTGTGTCAGAGATGTTTAGTCCCAAGTCCTTCCCGTGGATACCTTGGTGACTGTATACTTGTCAAGAGTGTAGCTGATTTTCATCGCCTCTGGTATGCGAAAATACATCACTCTGCATTTCTCCGGGTTAAGGCCTAAACCGTTCACAGCTGACCAGGAGTCCAGCTGCAGCGGGTCGTTTCGAAGTGTCCTAGGATCCTCTTTGTCACCTATCGTCCTCCATGTTTTGATGTCGTCTGCGAATAGGAAGATAGGTGAGATATTAGTGGGAGGTCATTCATAAATAGTAAAAATAGGAGTGGCCCAAGGATCGCCCCTTAAGAAACTAGTGTTCTTGCGTTCCTCCAAGTTTATCGAATTCCGTTTACCTTGGCGCAGAACTCTCTGTCCTCTAGGTGTGCTGTAAACCATGCTGAGTGGTTTAGTGATACTCACTTTTGCAAGTTTGGCTAGCATGGTGCAGTGTGGGAAGCTATCAAAAGCTTTGGCCATGTCCAAGAAGATAACGTGAACTCGTCGTTTGCTTCCCATCTGGTGGTTCCAGGCCGTCATCAAGTTTGTGGCACATGACCTCCCGGTTCCGAAGCCGTGCTGGGTAGGATGAGCCATGTTGTTTCTGTTCAGATAGCTGCAAACATCAACTGCGACCAGACTTTCTAGTACCTTGGAAGGTATGGGAGTAGTGCTATTTGTCTGTAGTTGCACGGGTTTCTTCCGTCTTCTCTATTGATCACTGGATAAAGAACGGTGTGTTTCCATTCTTTGGGGGGTTGACTTACTTCCAGAGAGTGCGCGAACAGGTTGCATATGGGTAGGCTTAGCACTTCGGCACAGTTGCTTAAGACCACCAGCCTTACATCATCACAGCCCGGGGATTTTCCTATCCTCAGCGTTGAAAGTCTCGCACACATTTAGATTGGGGAAGTCTTCACGTTCATTGGCTTTGTATCGCAGTCCTGGGACTTCGTTACACCACTAGATGTTGATAGTGGATCGACTTAAGGAGATGAACTTCTCATCTTTATCCTATCATATGCGGGAGAGTTCTAATCACACTACGCATAATTCTGAGAAATAGCTTTGGGCCTGATCCATCTTCCCTCTTTCTTCCCACTAAACTGGGACACCTAAGAGGACACAGCAGGAGAATAACAGAGAAAAAGACGAAGTCTTCTCAGAATGCTAGTTCTTGAGTCGAGTAGTCAACACCTAGAACCGATTCCCAGAAGAAGTGGCGTCCACTGGCCGGTTCAAAAGGGGATTGGTGAAGCACATAAGTCTGTTGGAAAAGGACTAATGTAACCTCACGGCCTTCTAAGCGGCCATAGATATAATAAGCGCATACCTTCCTAGGCCAAATAATTTTGACATAAACAGTTGTGACAAGAACTTGCAACACTGTATTCAACCCATGAGACCCCAGTGAAGTCGATTCCGAAAATTTCTGCCGCAAAATCATTATCTGTGTCCTCATGATTTTCCTACCCCGACTGCTTTTACACAGGGCGAAAAAGCATGTGACAGTGGAACATGCAGCGATTTCTACCGTTATAGAAGAAGTCTAGCAGGCATTTGTTTCATCGTTTATTTCGTAATAACTCTATTCTCAACTATTTACACCGAAGTCACTCTACTAGCCCTCTCGTCGCGTTATTCCTCAACTTTACGCCTAAAAGACTAGCACCACATCACTGAAGGAGAATCAAATGACCAACTCTCCGCATTGACGAACTTACTTGCAGAGAATGATTTGCATGCAGCTTAACCCTACTCCACATCCGTGAAATCCAATGGTGAAATGCTTTAAATTGCATACAATTCTGGTGCATGTATGATTGAAACGGAGAGGCCCTATGAAGTAGAGCAGGTTATCCAAAAACCGGAACAACTTTAATGTCTGACGCTGCTAAGGTAGGCTCACACACACTTGGATGCAGAGAGTGTTTACTTATCTCTTCCCCTCGTCTCTAGTTCACCTCTGAAGCAAGTGATGAACTCCCTCTAATCATTCCATAAATAACGGAATTGATTACGATCATTTCTGTACTTAGCCTTATACAACACAGCATGTTGGCTAGGTCACAACCCAGGAGGAATGATTCCGTGATAGTTTGTTTGATGAATATTTCACGCAGTCGAGCAGCGTTGTGTACTTCTTGGCGTTCCGAATACGATTTGATAGTCTGTATGAGTGATTATAGTATCTATTCTTGAATATACGGACACACTGTTTATGCCAGCATGAATAATTTTCTATGTAAGCTACCTGTTTGTTTATGGAAGGTAATATCAACCACGACCTTTTGGATCGCTGCAATATATGTTACATGCCAATAAACGGAGGAAGTTGACGTAGTCAATGACCAAAGGTATATAAATATGAACGATGAGTTCCGTTTGAAACACCATCTAGTAAATAATACCGTTTCACCGTGCGAAATGCCTGACAAGAATGCGATTGCGGAATTGTACACCACCGCAATGCCAAAGTTCTACTTTTATGCTAACAGGTAATAAGGTAGTGTTTTAACCTTCCCTGTTTGTCACAAATCCCATGAAGCTGCAAGGGCAATGTCCATTGGTCTCAGCAACCACAAAAGTGCGAAACTCCTATTTTGATGAAGGTAATTTGAATATGCTGTGCATCCCAGAGTTTTTGATACATGACCACGATGATTTGTCCAGGGGTCGAATCCTAACTTCTCCAAGAAGTCAGTCAGCATCAAAGCATCAAATATAGGGGTCAAAAACGCGCACTTAATCTCATCTCTCTAAATTGGTTGTAGAGTCACTGATTTAAGGTTGTTATTTATTTTCACTCATTACTTGTGCCAAGTGCAAGTTTATGAAAATCTCCCTACACAACGAATGTGGGACAAAGTGTCAGAGATGACATCATGGTTATAACCTAGCTTGAGTGTGGACGCTTACTGGGATGTGATATATATATATATATATATATATATATATATATGTATATATATATATATATATATATTCATGCTCGCGTCAGCGTTGGGAGAACTAATGTCCCCCAAAATATTAGCGGCAGTGTCGCCCAAGGCTGTCGACAACATCTTTTCACATTTTTAGCAGCTTCTGGGGTCTCTCAGACCCATTTAAAATGCATCCTATGCTGCCTCACTGTTATACTCATATATATATATATATGTGTACGTCACCTTTTCATTTATAGCATAGATCCCTTCTTTGGTACATCTTTAGACTTCACCAAGAAGTATTCCTAAATCAAGAATAAACACTTACGCCACGGTTGTTTATCATTCCTTTTGTTTTCCCTTAGGCCTTCTTATTACAATATAGTACTATCGTGATATTGATGCAGTACTCTGAGGAAAATTTTCGGTGCATTTCTAATATGGTTTTTAAAATTCTCTTTGTAAAACTGTTTATGCATCCTTTTGCTTCCGGCGTTCGGCAAACCATCATCGAATCCATCCGATTCCGATGTAGCAGGCTGATTAACTACGCTGATCAGCTCAGCTTCCTGATGACTGTTACTTATGCGGTCAATGGAAATGTAAACTTATGGTCCAGGTTTCTGCTGAATTGGGCTCACTTACCAAGATACTTTATCTTCAGCTAGGTAGTCCACTGGCTTCCCAATATACGGTCCATAAAATCCAGTTTTTTAAACTAAACCCAACTTTTTGAAATAAGTCATGACTTTTAGACCAATTCTCTGTGGCGAAATACTTCATATAAATGGTCAAAAGAAAGTATAATCTGCTTATCCCAACCAAATTCTTGGAGGGGAAGAATATCTCGCTACCCATAACCCATTAATGAGTGGAAGAAAAAATTAGCTACCACTGAAATGACTGAAGAAAGACCCATTTTCTGTCTGTACATATCTGCTCCGAATGTGAATACTGTCGATCATGAAC